GCGCAACTGTCCGCTGTGACCGCGAATGGCTGGGCTTCCTGGCCTGGAGACTGGGTTTGGGGGCTCCGGCGGGCGAGTGTTGCATCTGGTGAACTGGGCTGCGGATAAGGACGTGAGCCCCACTGCGAGACCCCCTGTTTTGGGCGATCTGTAGTCCCCTTGGCGGCTCGGCGGCTCCTAGACCGCGGGCTAATGGTAGCTTCCCAGCCCCCACCTCAAATTAGAGGCCAACTCGCGGCGCTGGGCTGCTCCGCGCGAGCGGGGCGGGGTCGGGTGCTGGAGTAGGGTGGGTGGCGGGTGCTCCGCGGAGATCCCCTGAAATTGTGCTCGGAGCTTGAGACCGGCTTGTAGAACAAAGAGCTAACTTTTCAAAGCAGGTTTCCCCAATGGAGGGTGCGGTTGGCTGAATTCAGGGGAAGGCAAGAAAAGGGGGAGGTGTTTGGGGGGAGGGGAGGGTGGCCTTCTGGAAATTCACTGTCCCCTGGGGCCCTGACGATTGCGTCCCCCCCACCCATGCTGGACTTGTTCATCTGGTTGCCATTAGGCTTTTGGAGGGGGTGGGGGTGGAGAGGAGGACTGGGTGTTTCCAGCAACTTGGGGAAGGATCTGGTCCTCTTTTTAGCTTCCTTAGATCCTGAGGCAAAATGTGTCTCCTCTGCACCCCTCTTCGGTCTGGAGGAGGGGGGCTTTGTGATTTTGTCCCCTTCCTCACCCGGGCCACTTCCCAAAGCTGGCTCCAAGTCCACATACTCCCTCTTTCTTTTCTGAAATGGCAGGAATGGGGGGCATGGGATGGAAGAGGGGTGCAGAGCCCTAGGGCCAGGTTCATTGCTCACCTGACGCCATGTTGGGCTGGGAAAGGACAGTTCATTGGATACTTAACTCTCCCCTTCCCCTTGGGGTTGGAGCTTCCTCAGTGACCTTTGGCCTCTGCCTCAGGGTGAAAGGGTGTGGGGTTCCAAGGTTCTGAAATACTTTTGAACCTGTTCTTGCAGGAAGGGGCATGCGGGGCTGTTGCAGTTTCACTGTCTCTCTTGGGCTTGGCCAGACAGGAGGAAAGGAGGGCCATGCTGTGGACACAAAGGATGTGGGCCCTGACCTTCCCGATGACTGTGCCAACCTCTGGAGGGTAGGACTTGAGCTTGGAGGCACTAACTGAGGAACTATTTGTCCTTGCACACGGGTGTTTTTGCCCTTCCCTGGTGGTGGGGATTTTGGCCTCTGTAATTTGAGTTCCCTGTGCTCTCCTCCATAGTCATGAATTGGCAAGAGGCTGTGGGCACTTTTGCCCATATAAGGCAGAAGCAATATAGATGAGGAGTTTGCTAGCCCATCCTGATTCCAGGTGTTTTCCCACCAGCTTTATGAATGGCTCTAGGCCTCAGTGTTCCATATCTGTCAGATGGGTATGATGTCATTTCCTTGGAGGAGGGGCAGTGCACTAAAGCGCCGGGATGTGGTAGAGGCTGTGCATTCCCTGTCTTTCTGGGGTACTCTATCTGGCCCCACACCTGGCTCCTCTTGTAAAGAACGTTGGTGCTGTGTGTCAGAGGGGAGGAGGGCAGGAATCCTGCAAGGTACCCTTTCCCAGTAGCTGTTCTCTCGTCCCAGCTGAAGAGGACAGTCAGGTGGGGGTTGCCTTGGGAAGTGGGGATTTAAATATGTTTTTATTGATTTTTAGAGAGAGAGAGGAATAGAGAGATAGAAAAACATCGATGAGAGAGAAACATCCATCGGCTGCCTCCTGCATATCCCTTCTGGGGATCGAACCTGCAGCCTGGGCATGTGCCCTGTCCTCGAATCGCACAACGAGATCTCCAGGTTCCTGGGTCGACACTCAACCAACCACTGAGCCATACCTGCCAGGCGTCCTCCCTCTCTTGTAGAGCTTTCCCTAGAGGAGGTGGTCCTGGGGGAATCCTCACCCCTGCACCCAGCTGGAGGCCTGGAATATCCAGGTATCAGACCTCTTCCTCCCACCTCTTTCCAGGCAGTAAGGATTGGCACTTCCTACTGGGAAACTGGTGCCCCAAGGGCTGAGACTTGCAGAACATTCAGTCCCATAAGCAAGGTTGCTAACCAACTTCCCCAGGCTTTCGGTTTACAAAGGGAGAGAGTCAAATTAGACCCACCCAGTTCACTATAATTTCCCTACAGCACTCAGCCCACAACCTGACCCAAAGCACAAGGTATATCCTTGGTGTTAACCTTTTCTCCTCCCTGAGCCTTATCTCCCAAAGGTTTAGGTGAGTGAAGGCCATGTTACCCCTGATGGCCACCCTGCCCCCACCTTGCAGTACCCAGTGTGTTCTGCACGCTGGATAAATATGTATGGCTGATGACGGTGTTTGAGCAAGGAGATCGAGGTTTCCTTCCCCAGAGGACTTCTGGGATTAAAGCTGGGGGGGAAACAGGGTGACCTCATTGGCTCATTCACTGGACAAATATTTATCGAGTACCTACTTTGTGCCAGGCACTCTGAAGGGTTGCCCTTGCAAGGCCTTTGGGAAGGGAGAGAGGGGCTGTGCCTCAGAATGTCCTCTGGATTTGGAAAGGTGGATTTGTATCCCAGACCTTGTTAGGAGGCATTTGTAGGTGGGAACCTGTGTTGTCAAGAATCTTGCCCTGCCCCTGTCCCTGGGCTTGCTTTCCTGGGCTCCTGAAAGCAGGTGGAGACAGCCTTTCTGGAAGGGTAGAGGACTGGTGGGTGCCAGCTTCCCTGGAATCCCCCAGTAGGAGGGCTCTCTGCCTCTGGTTGTCTAAATTGCCCCCTACCCTGCCCTCTCGCTTCCATAGGGGGCAGCAAAATAGGAGACTGGGCTGGACACACTAAAAAGACAAGTCCTTGTACTAGCTGTGGTGCCCCATTTTACCAGCTAAAGCTGAGCGCCCCACGATCACCTTGTGGCCACCCATTCATAGTAGCTACTACTTACTGCGAGGGGCCCGGCTCAGTCTTCGCAGCAGCTTCACACAACAGATGTGGTTGCTCCTGTAAATGATGAGCCCCGTACATGGAGGCTCAGACTGTGTGTGCGGCTCATTTCCCTCTCAGCCAGGGGTGGAATTCAAATCTGAAGTTCTTTGTGCCTGTTATGTTGGCAGAAAGGTACTTTATTGCCCAACCAGCTTGGCTTAGTGGTTGAGTGTTGACCTATGAACCGGGAAGTCATGGTTTGATTGCCAGGCAGGGCATATGCCTGGGTTGTGGGCTCGATACCCAGAGTGGGGCATGCAGGAGGCAGCCGATCAATGATTCTCTCTCATCATTGATGTTTCTATCTCTCTCCTCCTCTCCTTTCCTCTCTGAAGTAAAAAAATATATATTTAAAAAATTCAGGACAAGCCATGCAACCTCCCCACTGGGGATGTGCCCACAACCAAGGTACATGCCCTTGACCGGAATCGAACCTGGGACCCTTGAGTCCGAAGGCCGATGCTCTATCTGCTGAGCCAAACCGGTTAGGGCTTAAGTACCTTTATTTACACTATCTCGTTAGTGTCCCTGACCCTGGCCTGAGGAATGCCCTCGGCCTGGGCCTTTCCAGGAGCTGGGATACTAGGAATAATCATCTCCCCTGGGAATATTTGGAGAGTCTATGACTTTAAACCAGCGCCCAGGTGACCAACTGAACTAGGTTGGTGACCCAGCCAGGGTGGAGCTGGTGTTACCCCTAGAGAAGGGAAAAACCGTAACCCTGGGGGACAGGAAAGGAGAGGAAGGTCGTCGGGTCGCCTGGGTGCAGAGGGCAGGATGCCAGGCTGCAGGCACAGTGACCCGAAGCTGGCCGAGTTTCCCTCACCCAGGGCTGCGAGCAGCACTGCCCCACCTCCGCAGTGATTACAGAGAGATAGGAGCTGGTCCAGGCCACGCCCAAGTGCGGGAGATCTTACTTCCGCTCCATCGGCCTCTGTTTGTCTTTCTGTGGAGTGGGTTTTCTGGGGACTGGGCTTCAGCTTTGGAGCTGCAGGCAAGGAAGACTTGAGGGCAGGGCTGGAGCCTTGGGGGAAGGGCTGCCAAGCTTCGAACAGAGGCCTCATTTTTTGCGGAAGGCAAACAGTGGCCTTCAGGGCAGTGGGAAGGATTAGAGTTGCCTGCCCCGAGGTGTACTTTGCTCCAGATCCTGAATCCCGAGTCTCAGCAATGCTTCCCTGACATCTTCTTCCTGGGGCCTTTAAGAAAGGGGGACAGGAGAGAGAGGCAGACAGAGAGGGTCATTGTGGGGTTTTATTGATTTATTTCCCTGACTGAGCGGCTCACCGACCTGATTGAGACAGGGAGGGGTTTCCTGGGGGTGCCCGGTCCAGGCTTGGCCCCTGGGCTGTTGAGTGACTCGCCATATTCTGTCCTCCTGCCCTCCACTTTCCCACCATAAAGAGGACACAGGGGCAGGCGCTGCTGATTGTCCTGAACCTGGAGCCCTTCTCCGGTGAGGGAAGTGACCTGACGCAGCAGCCAGCTCCCAGTGCAGCCAGCTCGGAGCGTGAGTCATCTCATCACTCCTCCCCGCACCTCTGTGGGACCCTGGTTTTAGTTCCACTTTACAGCTGCAGAGTTTACTCCTGACCCTGAAGGCACTCGGACCACCTGTGCTTTTATTATTCTGCTCTCGAGCCCCCATAAGGGAACAGAGAGCATCACCCCCAGACCCTAGTATATCTAGCTGAAAGCAAGCGGCGTCTGGGGGTGAGGTGGGGAAGAGCTATGGATGGAAATGGGTACCATCCCTTCATATCGGGGCTCCCCTTCAAATGGCAGCCGGGAGGGGTCTTGTGGAATCCCTGAATTGGGTGTTGGCCCTGAACCCCCAGCCCAGTCAATATACCCTGCCCCTTCCCAAGGGGCTTGACACCAGAGTGAGATCCTAGCCACCTGCTAGGGGAGGGGTACCTATCTCCTTCCCTTTGTCTCCCCCAAATCTATCAGGAGGCAGCTTTGGAGGCCCCCCAGTCGTAGGACAGTGTGTATTCCTACAGATGTGTGTGTGTGTGTGTGTGTGTGTGTGTGTGTGTGTGTGTGTGTGTGAAAGTGGGTCATGGTCTGGATTCCAGAGAATATTTTTCCTGGCAGGCCTCTGTGGGGGTGGGGGGAGGCAGGGGCCTGGGCAGCTGAGCAGGCAGAGGCCAGCAGGATGGGTGGTGACAGGGTCGTGGCGCTCTGCCAATGCCTCCCAGGTATTGGGGGAGGGAGAGGGGCTGCCACTGTGGGCACTGACCGGGCAGGAACTACCCGCTTTTGTTTTATTTATTTATTTAAATATATATTTTTATTGATTTCAGATAGGAAGGGAGAGAGAGAGATAGAAACATCAATGATGAGAGGGGATCATCGATGAGAGAGAGATAGAAACATCAATGATGAGAGGGGATTATCGATTGGCGGCCTCCTGCATGCCCCCTACTGGGGATCGAGCCCGCAACCCATGCATGTTCCCTTAACCGGAATGGAACCTGGGACCCTTCAGTCCACAGGCTGATGCTCTATCCACTGAGCCAAACCAGCTAGAGCAAGGACCACCCTCTTTTAGTTTTTCTGGTGGGTTATGTGTTGGGGTTTTGCGCCTGGAGTCTGGGCTGGGCTGTGCGATCAGCCTCGGTTGGGGTGGGGGCTAAGCTGAGATCAGCCAACCCTTTGCTTCCAGACTTCCCCTGGCCTTCTTCCCACAACAGTGGTTCTCCTGTCACTTCATTTACTGTTGTGCCCCTGGCAGGGGAGCACCCTATTAGAAGGTGATTACCTCCCAATTTACCCCTGGGCCTCTGGTATCCCAACCTCCCAGCTTCTTTTTTTCCTGTCCCCTCCTCCAAGGTGGCAGGAAAACATTTTGAAAGGCACTGCCTTGGGGAAATTCCTTGGCAGATGGCCAAGAACCAGCCCCGTGCTGGTCACCTTAAACATCTCCCTGGGCCCTCCCCTGGTTTCTGGCCTTCCCTGCGGGCTGAGGAGTGTCTCCCTTGACTTCTGGGAAATGGGGCAGAACCAGGCCAGTTGGGTCACCCAGGCAGCCTGGATTCCGGGGTCCTGGAAGCTGGACTCCTGGTCAGTGCAGATCCCAGGGCCAGACTTAGATCGCATGTGTGTGGGTTTGGCCCAGCGTCAGCGTTGCTCAGGGTGAGGTCCCTTCTGTTGCATCCTTTCCCCTCCCTCCTGTTCCCCTCCATTGGCCATGCTGGATTGGCCCTGGTGGCTCTTTGCTGGGTGTCTTGGCTTTGCTGGAGTCTTACCTGTCACTCACCCTCACCCACATTGTAGCTGTGGCTGGGCACAGTGAAGCCCCACCTGCACCCGACACACAGAAAGTTCCCGTGTGCGTCTCCGAGCCCTCTTGGTTGGGGTTCATGTCTGCTGTGCCCCGCATCTAACATTCGGGTACTTAGAGGTGCCAGGTGCTGCGCTGAGGGCTTTGCAGGTGATTTCTCATTGAATCCCCAACAGTCCCAGGAGGAACAGATCTGGAAACGGCTCAGCGGTGTGGTCCCTGGCCAAGGTCACATAGCCGGTCAGGGTGGCGCTTCGATGTCCACTATGAGGGCTCCCCTTCCAAGGCTTTTAGGCTGAGCCCTTCAGTGCCTCAGAGAGAGCTGCTGGGTGCTCTCCTGAGTGAGGGCCTGGGAGAAGGGTGAGGGAGGGAGAAAGGGTGCAGGAGTGGTGGTTAGAGCTAGGGCACCCACTTCTACCCTCTGGTTGGGGGTCCCACAGGAAGTGGGAGGTGTCAGAGCTGGACCCCCTGGTGTGGGAGTTAGGAATGCCTGGGTTCTGTGCCTGGGGGCTCCGGGCCAGGCCCTCCTCCTCTGCCCCTCATGTTCAGCAGCGGCCTCTTAGCAACCCTGGTCCAGCTTTGCTCAAGCAATGAGGCTACTCCAGCTTGGGGGCAGCAGGAGTGGTCTGGGAGGTGGAGCTGACCTTTGGGGACAGCTCAGCCCTACTATTACTGGCCTCTTCCCCACTCACCCTACACATCTGCTCTTCTCCCCATCCTTACAGCTCAAATGACTGATTGGGGGGAGGGTACAAGGGGGAGAGTGTCATTAGCTGCCAGAGCTGTGACCTGCGATGTCCCCAGCTCACCCGGTGGAGCTGGAGTGCTCCTTCCTAGGGCCTGAACCCCCTTCCTGAAGTCCTGTGTCTGACGGGTGTCCTCCCTCTGCCTCTGTCCCCAGTTCTGGCATAAAGCATGCTTCCACTGCGAGACCTGCAAGATGACACTCAACATGAAGAACTACAAGGGCTACGAGAAGAAGCCCTACTGCAACGCGTAAGTCCTGCCTGGGGCAGGAGGCTGGGCGGGTCCCTGGGTGGATCCCCGGGCGGGCCCCGTCCTCATTCTTCCTTCTGTTCTAATAACCACAAGGGGACATCGGCCGAGCACGCCCACTCTCTGCTTGATTAGTGTCAGTCCCATGTCATCTTCACCACAGCTGGATGAAGTCAGGGCTCTTATTCCCATTTCACAGAGAAGGAAACTGAGGCTTGGGGAAGGGAAGGGACTTTCTCAAGATTACATGTCTAGTGAGAGGCTAGTTCAAACCCAGTAAAATAAGAATGTTCCTCCCACTGCACCCGCAGGGGAGGGCGGGATCCAGAGGAAAAAGCGAGCGGCCCTGTTTCTGCCTATTTTTGTTCTCTGCTTCTCCTTTCCTCCTTTCTCTCCTCAGAATAGCCATTGAGTGTCTCCATCTCTCTGTCTGCCCCCTGCCAGAGCCTGGGCACTAATTCTTTGGGGGCTCCTGGCTGAGCCCTTCCTGGTGGGGCAGCAGGAAGGGGTGGCCTGGCTCCGGGCAGAGCTCTTCCCGTCTGGTGAGGGAGGCTGTGGAGACCTCAGTCTTTTCCAATGGTGTTGGGTTGGACTCTGTTCCTTCTGCACGGGGACCTGCAGCCTGGCCTGCTGCGGGGAGGTGGGCAGGGTCGGGTCCCTCATCCCATGCTGTTCCAGAGAGTACAACACCTTCCACCTTCAGGGTGACCTCGTGTGCGTAACAAGTGCAAACTCATTCCGGGTCGAGGGCACATGCAGCACCTCCCAGCCACCTGCCAGGTAGGGGTTTTCGAAGGTCAAGTCCCTTCGTCTAGGTGGCAAGACCAGTATTCAAAACAGTTCAGCAAAACTCTGACTTGAGTCCAGTTTTTCTTTAAAATTCCCAGTCAGGAGGCTCTTTGCAGCTGAAGGAGGGGAACCTTGGGACTTGTCTAAGTGGGGTTGGGGTCTTAAACCCCTTGGAAAGGCTGCCTCCCCCTTTTGGCACCCCCAGTGCCCTGCTGATCCCACAGCCTCCTCTCCTTGGTGTTTTTTTTTCACTCATTAGGTAAGGATTGCCTGCCCGCTGCTACGTGCTAACCTGTGCCAGGTGCTGGGAAAACAGATTTCTGATAAAATCTTACACTCAAGAAACAACATGTGCGCTGTCCCTTCTGGGCGGGCTCGGGGCACTGGGAAGATTGCCTGGGTCCCCCTCTCTTCCCTCAGCTGCTCCTTCTCTTCTATTAACTTACCCTGGTCCTCTCCCCGCAACCTCTCCCCACCCCCCCAAGGGAAATGGGACATTCCTCGAATTCTTAAGGACTCACACAAGCCCTGATTTTCTGCCACTTCCTCCCTCTGTTGGGGAGTGGGGTGGGGTTCAGCGAAGCCAGAGGCTGGGGCAGTTTTAACCCCTTGATTGCTGGACCACTTCAGGCTGGATTCTGGGCACTGAGGCTCCTCTGGGGGCAGCCTCTGACCCTCAGCCTCTCCGGGCAGCAGCCTGGCTGAGCCCCCAGCCCCGTGGGTGGCAGGAACCGTGGGTGGCAGGAACCGGGGCTTCTCTGCGGCTCTTCCCTAAGACTGCAGTAGCCTAGAACTCAGGGAGCACTGGGAGTTGGAGACAGAAATCAGAGGCGTGTCCTTGTTTTCTCTGTATGTATTGCCTCAGCCTCGAGCCACAGTCCCAGCTCACTTTTCTCACTGTCTTCTGGGGAGGCTGCAGGAAGTGGGGTGGGGGGCTCCTTGCATCGGTGGGGGCTCCAGGGGAGGCGGAAGACAAGCGCCCCTCCTTGCTTGGATGCTGCTTCCAACCTGCCTAGGCAGGTCTGTCTCCTGGCCTCCAGCCAGAGCAGCGGGTTGACCCCTCTCCGTTCCCCCAGCCTTTACGGGCCTTGGCCTATGCCCCGCCCAGGTGACCTTTGGCCCAGCTGGGATGTTACCTGGGAAGGAGAAGACCTGGGGGCTGAGGTCCAGCCGTGTTTCACTCCAGTGTAGTAGCACCTTGCCCGCGGCATGCACGCTCCTCAGCCAGCTTCTGCGGAGCGGTTGTCTGTGCCAGCGATCCAGACAGGGAAATTCCAGGATAAACCCGGCGCAGGCCTGGCCTGCAGGAGCTCCCTGTCGACCTGCCCGAGCCTCGGTTCCCCCAGGGTTCCAGCTTCCTACCCTGGGACGCTGGGCCGGACGCCAAAGGAGACAGAGTACCTGCTCTGTGCCAGGCCCCGGGCTGGGGGTTCCCTCTCCTCCCGTCCTGTTTGCTCCCTGCCTCCGGCCCCCTCCTCCAGGGACATTCAGGTTCCGAGTCCTGGGGTGTCCAGGGTGTAGCTCTGCCCTTTGCTTTTGGACCAGGCCTGGCTTCCTTCTCAGCAGCACCTCCCGCTCGGAACCCAGAGAGGCAGGTGGTTCCTCCTGGCACTTTGCCAGGGAGTTGGGCCCACCCAGTGAGTGAGTGTGAGGCCTCCGCCTTCTGCCCGCCTCTGGCTCGTCCCTCGGCCAGGATCTTGCAGGGGGATGGTCAAGAGAGAAGAAGCCTGCCTGTCTTTTCCCGGCGGCATCTCAAGACGAATTTAAGTTCGGGAAAGTGACTGTAAGCAGCAAAAAGGCCTCTTCTCTTCCTCCCCGCGTGCCAGGCTTGTGAGGCATGGGGGAGAACACAGGCCAGAGCTCACAGCTGGCCGGCTGGGCGGTGGCACACCCCTACGGACACGCACTGACACATGTGCCTGGTATGTGTCCAGACACACGCGCTGCCGGACGTGGGGCTGGGGAGAAAAGCCGGGGAGGTCGACTGGGTAGGGTGTGCTTGTGTTCACACTTCCCAGGCCACAGCCGCCCAAGCGTTGCTGTGCTGTGGGCAAGGGAGAGGCGTGCATGCCTGTTTTTGCACCATAGCCAGCAGTAGGAAGACCCATTCATTGAATTCTTTCTTGAAGTTTCTAGGTAGGTGGGGTGAGTCTGCTCCATTTTGGTTAGAGGGATGGTTATACCCTTGGTTATTTGTTTTCTAAGCTACGTTTTATGAAAGTGGGGCAGCTCTGTCCCCACTGCAAACCAGCTGCTTTGTTTTCAGGCAGATAGTCTAGGAGTCTGGAGGGCAGGGGCAGGGGCAGGGGCAGG